GGAATTCAAGTAGCTAGTAGAGCAAACTTTTATTTTGTACAATAGTAGTTTAAAAACAAAACGAAAAAAACAGAGACATTGTAAAGCAACAAGAACCTTAAGAAATTGGGAAGGCTTTTGTTATGTTGAACTACTTAAAACACTGGTTTCCAAGCTTGTGTTCACGTGTTTTTATTTTTACAAGGCTCCTACTAGTTTAGTTGAACAGTTTCTAATTCTTGTTCTACATGAGATGGTGAGCCACCCATCTTGTCCGTGCCCTTCAGGAGGTTCATGTCCCGTTCTCAGTGTTCCCCTCCATCAGTCAATGATTTCTTTTCCAAGCTGAACAGTCCCAGCCTACCTGATATTTATCATATGGAAACTGTCACACTTTCCATTGTTGTTGTTGCCCTTCTCTTAATCTTTTGAAGTTGTAAAGTGAGTCATTAGGTTCTTTGACAGATACTGTTCCTGATTGGATTTGATAAAGCATTCTGCATATAAATTCTGTATGTATAAATTCTAGAAATATAAAATGCTATATAACCAGCACATTTACATCTTGTCATAAAATTCTCATTGCCTCACTGAAATGTATAGTAGCTTTAATGCCACCTTCTGGGCAAAGACTTAAAGTAGTAGTGTGACCAGACTTAATTTGAACTTATGCTTCAAAATCAGAACAATTACATTTCCAAGTTTGCTATTATATTAACTAATTATATTAACTAATAATATTATATTAACTAATTTAGAAGCAAACACTTTCATTTATTGACTGAAATACTAGTTGTATGAGTTGAGATAATGCTCGGATTTGAAAATATGGGTTTGGTCCTGTATTCAAATATGGAGAAACATTGATTTTCTATTTCAAAAGTGCAACATAATTCTCTTGAATATGAAAAATTTGAATTTGAAACTGATTACCTAATTATCTAAACTAATTATTATGAAATATACAATCTTTGAGGACTACTACTTGTGGAAAAGTGTATGTATACATAAAACAATGCAGATAAATCTTATAGAATTGTTTTATTCTTAAGCTAAAGATGATTCATGTAAGCTCTCTTAACAATTTTGCCATTCCAAGATGTATACGTTATGGTTCTTCCTTGTCTTGAAAGGGATTGCTATTACGTAGGGATTACTATTACGTATTCCTTTTCAATCTACACAAGTTCGGCCTCTCTTGTACTTTTTAATACTAAGAAAATGATCATTATTGTCATCCTCGAAAGGTTTCTAGTAATTGTTCTATTCCTTACTCTGAAATAGGAAGGTATGGATCACTTCAAGAACATGAACATGGTTTTATCATTTTATCATTTTCCAGTAATGGTTATTCCAGTAATGGTCAAATTAACACAAAGTGCACAGTGTATGCTAGGTATCTCGGTGTATTGTTATTGTCTGGATATTAGTATGGTTTATAATATGATCTGAATAAAAATCTGTTTGTAAATTCTGCTCAAGTGAATGGCTGGGTTGAGAGTCCCTCTTCAAAGGACTGACAATTCTGCACTGATTGTTTTTTGCTCTCTTCAGGCAGGATGGAGGCTTCCAGTGACACAGACACAATCTGTCTAGCCCCTGCCCTAACAGTATAGGAATCATAACTATCAATCGTGAGAATCCGTGAGAAGGAAGGTCTTCAAGTATGAACTATATTCCAGACACTTTGTTTCATTTTCCATTTTGGGTTTTTTGTTGTTTTTTTCCAGTGCTGGGATTGGACGGACAGGAGTTCTTATCACTATGGAGACAGCTATGTGTCTCATTGAGTGCAATCAGCCTGTTTATCCATTAGATATTGTAAGAACCATGAGAGATCAAAGAGCCATGATGATCCAAACACCTGTGAGTATCATACTTGCTGTTCTGTGTTGCAGAAGAATAATTTCCTATTACCTAGTTATATCAATAGATGGATTTTTTAATATACTTGCTGTTGAACATATTGCAAAGAGGTCACCTTTACCCAGTGTAGCTGTAGCCTTGGCTCCAGGCAGGAATAAATTGCTAAGGCTACTGGAAAGGAGCAGTTCTTTAAATTTCTACGAAGAAAACTTAAAAACAGCAGCAGCTGTTTCAGGGATACCTGGCAATTCATGTCAAAAAGGGCCAATTTTCAGTAGTGTAAAAATTACTCAGTGCAGAAAGACAGGAGCCTAATTCCGGGTGTTAAGAATGGGAGTAGTATAAAAGGTAAACACAGAAAGATCCAAGACATGCAAGAAAAACCTTCAGTGATGCAATTCAGTGATTTTATGTTGCCTTAGCTATAATGAAAAGAAGCCTTAACTTCTGCCCTGTAGTGACTCAGTGAAAGGGAAATAATCAGAGAACAGATTTTTTTTTTTTAAATCACTCTAATTAAATCTGATGTGAGATATATCAAAGTAATTTTAAGTGTATTTAGTCTACAAGAAGTAACTTGTTACCAGGATTCTTTTGGTGCCCTCTTCACATTTGATGTATCTTAAGATGCTAGAATTTTTCCTGGATCGATAATCTTCGGGGTTTTTCAGATAATTGCGACATTGTTTTAATGTATTATGTTTCAGAATTGTGGAAGTTTTAGAACAGATTTGGAAACTTTGTATCAGTCAGGTGTTGCATATCTCTGAGAGCAGTTTGTGTTTACATTTTTAGAAAATATCTAAAAAGGGTCAGAAGAAAAAAAAAAAAAAAAGCTTGGACTCTTGGTTGTTCCAAGCTTTGACCAGTTCCACGTTTTTTATTTTTTGAATCAGTAATCAGTTGTATAGTTTCACTTGTAGTGTATAGCGCTTAAAGAGAAAGTATTTTGAAGGAGAATCATGTCAAAGGAGATCCCATATCAAATCTCTCCCACAATTACCTGAAGGTAGTTACTCATTGTAGTAATTTTAACGTACCTGCTGCTGTGCCGCTAATCAAATTGGAATAAACCTTTTGTGTTCTTCAGAGAGTATTCAGACTGACAAAAAGTATATATGGGCCTCCATTTCTAGGTCGTCTGTCATTTGGTGCTGCTGTCTAGTATTCATGTTCCACTAAAAAAAGCTGTATTACTCAGCCAGCACAGGAAGGATGAGGAAAATGATGAAAAATAATAAAGGATGGCTCTTGCTGTTTGTGATGACTATACAGCATGAATAGCATATCTCTCTAGCGTACATAGAGAGGAAGAGAGTTTTATTAGTAAAGGTAGGAGGTGCAGTGGTAAGGGTTTTAACTTTTTTTTCACAATGTGCTGAATATCTTCTGGTCTTACTTTTCTTAGAGAAACCAGAATTTTCAACCTTCAGTGAAACGCAGGTGTTTACTGCATCAGAGGGAGAAGGGATAATAAAAGACTTGAAGTGGTTTGTTTTGGGGTTTTTTTAAGATTTCATTGACGTTAACTATTACAGTTTCTCCTTGGCACACTCTTCCTGATTTTGTATATCCTGAAAGATTCACTCAATGTCCACAAGATGGCCCTATGCGCGGGTGTCTGCGGTGTGCGCTATATGAAGAACATTTACAGAGTCTCCTTCAGGGAGCACTGGAGGCAAAATAAGTATTTTACACAAAAATATATATAAATTTAACTATTTTAATATTTGTGCGCAATACAGTAAATAGTGATTCTATTACTAAAAATGTTACTGTGCCCATTTAGGATCTGACATCACTAATTACTGCATAGCGAGGGATACTCCACGACACTGAAAAGGCAGGCATGCTGGCTTTCTGACCAGCATATACGCCATTATGCAGTATTCGGTGTTAGTTGTGGTGCTTTACAAAACATTGCTTTTATTTCATTTTATTTTATTATATTCTAAGTCGATTGCTGTTGGGTTTTTTGACTGTTATTTGTTTAAAACAAAATATTAGTGGCCTCTCTGTATGCAGGGGCTAGACTTGAATACATTACAGAGTTAGACATTATATAATGTTAAGCAACTGAAGTTCTGGCTTTTTAAAACATGAAACAATTTTCTTTTTTATCAAATTCCGAGAGGGAGGTGCCAGTAACATGCCAGAATTAACGTAAGTATGAAAAAGTGCTTTGAAACTATAGCTTTTAAATCCAAGTGCATGGAAACCTCAGGTCAGTGAAACTTCAGCAATGAAATGACGAGCAGAAAATTACTAAATATGCAATGTTGTAATAAGAGTCCTGGTTTTGTGGGTGTGACTTTTGGTGTATATTTCAAAGTGCCATTCATCCCATTCTTCTGTTGAGAAACAAGATGTTCTAATATAAAGTTCCTGTTGGTTTTGTTTCCTAAACTAACTTTGAAGCACAGTTCTTGGTCTGTCGAGAGAATGGGATGAGGAAATCTTAGAGGCCTTTTCTGCTTCCAAATGACATAGTTCAATTATGTTTCTTTTCAATGTACTGAATCTGCTTTCCTTTTCAGAGTCAATACAGATTTGTATGTGAAGCTATTTTGAAGGTGTATGAAGAAGGATTTATTAAACCTTTACAAGCGTCACTGCATAAGTAAAGAGCAAAAAAAAAAAAAAATCAATTGAGGAATCCTGTCCTCTATAATGAACTGGCAGCATTCTTTGTGCCATATTACTGCTTGCAGGAAATGATAGTGAAGTACAGCAAAGAATTGACAAAGGACTTTGAAAACTTCAGCACTGTTGCACTTTACGTTGAAACAAAATCAGTCTCTGAAACTCTTCTAACCTTCATCTGTTTGAAGACTTTATTTTTGTGCTTTGCTCCGAACAAACAATAAACTGAAAGAACTAATTGTGTTCAGGGTAATCTACGATATTTCATTGTAGTGCCATATACTGCGCTTCTGGTTGAATTGCTACAAACAAGGCTTGGAATTATTTCACTCCGTTTTACACCCATGTCTCTTAAAATGAAAAACAAATGAAAAAATACACTAAGCCATGGTCTTTTTCCAGTGCTAGGTTTATTTACTATGTACAGACTCTCACTGTTTTGTTTTTTACAACATTAGCAATATTGCCAATACTAGATAGATACACACTGCCTACTGATGCAGCACACTTTGTCCCACACCCTTACGAGAGACCAGCTGGTTGTTAGAGGAAAGCTGGCGTCTGTGTTAACCCAGCAGTAGCTGCATAATGCCCACTTACCAGCATCTTGTACAAAATAATAAAAATAAAAATAATAAAAAAAAAAAATAAACAGCATTTCTGTGACACAGCTTGTGTGTCATACACTGGTGTATTCTGATTCGTGTGACTTAAGATTACGTGATGGGAACTAGTGCATGCATTATGTCTTAACCCCTTAAGTGCCTTGAGACTTACAGCGTACATCCAGTGAAAGGCACTCATGATTCTGTGGGGGTGGTATTGTCCTGTCATATTTATCTTAATGGGTTCAGATTTTAAAAATGGCCCTTGGTGCTTGGAATGTGTTACCGCAAGGGGTCATGGAAATACCATTCCCTCTTCCCTTATACAAGTACCTGTGTGCTACTCTCAGTAGCAAAAGCACCTCTGCCAAGTTAATGAATGAGCATTGTATGCTGCTGTGTTGTAATTATGTGAAAAATCTGACACATTCCTTCATTCCTTCCAACTAGTAACTTGCTAGCAACTTACTATGAAATGCTGGTAGGTCATTAGAAGCTGATACTTTGTTTTAGCCTTTTATTGACAATAGCTGTCTTACTCAATTAGAACATAACTCTTTAATGGCACTGATAATTAAGTTGAACTTACAATCAGATGTGATTTAATTCCATTATCTGCTAACCAATTACTTTTTAAGTCTTCATAGTTGATTTCAAGCCATGTTCGTACAGGTCTGCCTTT